ATGTCATTTAGATCATAATACTCATCAACTTATAAGTACCTTAGCTTCATCATTTAAATGTACAATACTAAACAAATTAACAATGAAAAATAGAGAGGAAAGAAGGGAACTACATGAGCTTTTTAGCATAATCAAAAACTCCATCAAAGATCATAGCAATCATCATCATCATCATCATCATCATCATTATTATTATTATTATTGTAAAAATCGTCTCACAAATTGACTTTCCAAGACTTCAACACCCTTCGTGAACACATTTCCATACATAAGCACCATCTAGGCTTCTTTCAAATTTTGAGGAGCTCTAATCCTCCTCAAAATGCAATCATTGATAAGAATAATGATAAATTTCTTATTTAGTTCAAGAGTTTTACGTTAAGAGAGAGATAAAATAAAACTAAATGTTACCCCTCGATTCCGAGGCCTAGTAAAACGAGCCCACGTGTCACGACACACAGACAGTGGTCAACAAGAAGTCAAAAGAAAATCCAATAGGTCAAAGATAAGAAAGAAGTCAAAAGGTCGAGGTCCTTATAGAGTGTCCGAAGTCCTCACACTGCGTGACTGAAAGTTGGGAAAGAAGCTGACGTCCCCCACCTAAGAACCACCTCCGATCTCTCCGAGGCACTTAGTTCATCTAAGGCTCACGAAGCCGACGCTGCTTCCTTGTGAAAAATATTTGAGGATCTCTGAAGTGATTGATGTAACGCTTGTAATAAAGCTATCAGTGTGTTAGCCTATATTGTATAGGGCGGCTGACTTCTTGTCAAGATATTAATTGTGTGAATAGACAATGATGTGAAGTCTTAGTTAGGGAGATGAGCCCACGTGGCTCCGATCCAACGATCACCACGTAGGTCAAGTCAGTATAAATAGGTCCTATTTGTAATAAGAGGGGGAATGGTCAACAAGAAGTCAAAAGAAAACCCAGTAGGTCAAAGATAAGAAAGAAGTCAAAAGGTCGAGGTCCTTATAGAGGGTCCAAAGTCCTCACACTGCATGACTGAAAGTTGGGAAAGAAGCTGACGTCCCCCACCTGAGAACCACCTCCGATCTCTCCGAGGCACTTAGTTCATCTAAGGCTCACGAAGTCGATGCTGCTTCCTTGTGAAAAAGATTTGAGGATCTCTGAAGTGATTGATGTAACGCTTGTAATAAAGCTGTCAGTGTGTTAGCCTATATTGTATAGGGCGGCTGACTTCTTGTCAAGATATTAATTGTGTGAGTAGACAATGATGTGAAGTCTTAGTTAGGGAGATGAGCCCACGTGGCTCCGATCCAACGATCACCACATAGGTCAAGTCAGTATAAATAGGTCCTATTTGTAATAAGAGGGGGATGGGGAGGGGGAATCATATATTTTGGGGGGGAACAAGACACTTGAACTCTTGAAAGAAACACATGAACATTTTATCTATCATTCAACATATTCTTGTTTACAATGACATAGATTAGTTTGAGTTCAATCTGACAATCGTTGTTAGTGCGATCATTTCCGTTCCATCGGCCGAAGCTCGAACAATTCTATCTCTTGTCGCAAAGTACCTCCTGCGTCCACTTCCTCACTACTACCGTTATCATTCTGGTAGGAACATGCCGAAATCTTACTTAACTTGATTCGAGTGGACCCAAAATCTGTTGATTCATTTTTGGGGGTCAACACTAAACAAGAATGGCAAATTAATTAAAAGAGTGCATAAGATTAAAAACCTAACTTTGATGGCAATATTATAATATATAATTTAAGCATTCAAAGGGACAAACCAATTGAAAGAGAGTAGACAAGAAAACCTCCACACAAACGATATTAAAGACAAAATAAATGTAAATTTGGATCCTTCAATACTTAAATATTATGCTTTCGTAATACTATTGGCACCAGTCCTATATTTTGTCTATGTGGACTAAGCAGAAAAGGGGCTCAACGTATACATAAGAGAAGCAAGGAAGTGATCCGAATAGAAATGCTAAAAATATTTATAGTTGGAGAGGCCGTGACAATTCTAAATTTCTAATTAGAGCAATGTTGATCATTTATTCGAAAACAAAAACGCCAATAACAAGATTGGTTTAGGAAAGCAAGTCAGCAAGCGGGTATGTAATAAAAAAAAATTGATTTCATTTGAACATACCTCTTAGCATATCAAATCTTGTGATAACTTGTAAGATTTGAATTAATATTCTCTTTATTTCAATAAATGTAATTAAATTAGAAAGTTGACTAAAGAAAAACTTAAAAGACAGAATTGGCAATCAAATGTATATATCTTCTATATATTAAAAGTGTCTATGTAACGGAATTTCTTGTTTTTAACGAAAAAACTAACGGAATTTGTTGTTTTAACGGACTATGTAACGAAATTTCTTGTTTTAAACAGGCAGCTGCACATTCCTTCATTGTTTTTATCATAACTTTGTATTCCGATATCCGATTGAGGAGATTCAAAATGCGTTGGAAAGATAACTCATCTGGCTAAAACTTTGATTCAGACATCATTCTCCAATTCGATCACTTTCCATGCCAAAAATAAGGCTCAATATGAGACTAAAATATCGGAACATAACTTTTCGGTTGAAAATTGATTTGTGATCATCTTTTGACTAAATTTGATCATCTTGACGTCTTCCTTTATCCAATTGACTTCGAGCACTCTCAATCTTATACATATTAAAAGTGGCTATGTAACGGAATTACTTGTTTTAACGGAAAAACTAACAGAATTTATTGTTTTAACGGACTATGTAACGGAATTTCTTGTTTTAAACAGGAGGTTGCACCTTCTTTCATTGTTTTTATCATAACTTTGTATTCCAATATCCGATTCAAGTGATTCAAAATGCATTGGAAAGCTAACCCATCTGGCTAAAACTTTGATTCAGACATCATTCTCCAATTCGATCACTTTCCATGCCAAAAATAGGTCTCAATATGAGACTAAAATATCGGAGCATAACTTTTCGGTTGGAAATTGATTTGTGATCATCTTTTGACTAAATTTGATTCCATTGACGTCTTCCTTTATCCAATTGACTCCGAGCACTCTCAAATCTTCATCGTGAGGTTCGGCACAACTTTTAAGTATTTACATTTTAGTCCCCGAACTTTGGATCCCTTACAATTTAGCCATTTCTCCAAATTTGTCAACTTTTGCTTATTTTCTTCGATCTCACCAACTTACATCACAACATCAAAATCACACATCTAATTATTTAACAATTATATAAACATTACATCATTAATTATTTAATTAACCAAAAAAATTACATCTTTATTAATAACAAATTAATTATAAAACAAAACTATTAAATATAAACTAGGCAAATGTGCATTGCACGTTGCTTGCACCTAGTATATCTAACAATTGCCAACCAAATGTTGTCTAATTGTTCAAGAGGTGGTGGTGAAAGGGGTTGGGCAGGGGTAGAATGGGAAAAGAGATTTTTTTAAAAAATTGTTTTGAGTACTCCTTTACATCTTTTTCAAAAGATTTAGGTTTTGATTATATTTTTTTTTATTTATATAAAAAATTAGGATAAATTCTTTATTTCACAAGATTTTAATTGAGACAATGAAGTATGAACTCTACATATATTTTGCACAAGGGTAATTAGCACATAACGTCCATATTTTTTATTATTATTATTGAAAATATTCACACATTTCATTTTTTTGGCATTTTCAACATTATTTTCACATTTCATTGCGCAAAAGGTTCTTTTCACCTATTTTTTCAATTAAAAATTATGAAATGACAAATTTACACATCCCTTTAAATAAATCAAAAAGAAAAAGAAAACAATTAATTGCAATCGTAGTCCCTTTTTTTTAAAAAATGCAAATAAGTCACAAATAAATTGTTAAAAGTGTAATTAATACATAATGTTCATTTTTTTCCCTGTTATTGCGAAAAAAGTCCATACCTTTCATTTTATATCATTTTCATCGTTAATTACACATTTGATTGTGCAAACCATCTTTCTATCTATTTTCATCCAATTTTTCAATAAAGAATTGTGAAATAATGAATATAACCTCATATTTAAATAAAAAAAATATATTTTTAATTTCTAATTCTTTAATAGTTTATTTGGGACTAATTTGTTCTTTTTAAATTTTTAAATAAATTTAATTGGGACTCGTTTGTACTTTAAAAATTTTTTTATATATAATTCATTGGGGATTTGTTTGCACTTTTTTTAAAAAAAATTGGGACTATAATTACAATTAATTTTTTAACTTTTTATTTAAATATGAGGGTATATTCATCATTTTACGGTTTTTTATTGAGAAATTGGATGAAAATTGACAGAAATGATGATTTGCACAATTAAATGTGTAATTATGAGTGAAAATGCCAAATAAAATAAAAAATAGGAATTTTTTTGCAATAATAGTTAAAGGTATGGACATTATGTGCTAATGACTCTTTTAATAATTTATTTAGGACTCATTTGTGCTTTTTAAAAAAAATTAGGATTATGATTGCAATTAATTTTTTTTCTTTTGTTTTATTTAAAGAGAATGTTATATTTGTCATTTTACAATTTATAATTGAGAATATTGATGAAAATCACGTTTTGTGCAATGAAATTTGAAAATAAAGATGAAAATGTTAAAAAAAACAGAAAGGAGAAATGTAAGGTGGGTATGTACCAATTACCTTACCCTCTTGCACGATGTTAACTTGATTTGAAGGTGAAATGCAAGGATAAAAACGATTCGCACAAAATCTCCACCCGACTTTTCTTCAACGACCAAATCTATACCCGAATCCATGTCAGGTTCTTAACCGACCCGTGAATCTCCATTTCTATTTCCTACTGCACGATCCAGGCTTCGATTTTCCTCTGCTAAATAAAATCACAAGTCGCTGATCCTTTCAAAAATTGAAAATTTGTCAAGAGTTTCGTTTCATCTGCGTTTGTTCAAAAATTTTCTCCAGCTTGTGCATAGAAATTTACGAATTTGAGGCTCAGCACTCTAGAGTAGGAGAAAGATGATGGTGGAGGATCTCGGGGTGGAGGCGAAGGAGGCGTCGGTGAGAGAGGTGGCAAAGCTTCTTCCGCTGCCGGAGCTCTTGCAGTCCATTGCTTCCATCAAAGCCGATTACATTGCTCGCCAACAGGTTCATTTTACTTTATATCATTTAGCTATACACTTTTTTTTTTGTAACTGTTATTTTCTGTTACAAAGAATTCTCTTAATTGTGTTCGAATTCTTGGAATTGAGCTTTGGATTCGAATGCCTCAATCAGGTTTCATTGCTGAAATTTAGAGTAAACGCGATCTCAAACGGTTTCATTTTATTCACGATTCAAGGATATATGAAAAATTATTGTAATTGTGGAGCAATGATAAACTCTAGGAAACGCCACTTCCTCGGCGATCTTCGTTACAGCTTTTAATAACTACCCCTATACTAGACTAAACAAGAATTACTGGGATGTATGCGAAAGGAAGAGGAATCATAATGCCTCATTTCTATTATTGATAAATAAGACAAAAAAAACCTACAACTCCAATAGAGACTAGACTCTGTAAGATGTGTAGAATTTGTCCTTGAAATTTGGTTCCATTAGTGGAGATTGATATTGGGAGCTGCAATTGAGTGGGGTCATGGGAAATGTGTCCCTTGACATAGTTGTGCAGGTAGCTTGTTCCGTAGCATTAGCTTCTTTCATTCATTGTTTTATTGGATTTGAAGTTTCGATCTTTTGAATTTTGGATTTTACTCATGCATTTTTCCATGTAATGATCAAGAACACGTAATGATGTAAATATGATGCTATGTAGGAAGATTATTCAACTATGGTGATAAACTTCTAGTTTTGGTTTGTTATCAGGCTAATGATGCACAACTCAGTACGATGGTTGCTGAACAGGTAAGCTACACTCCTAAGCCTGCAAACCTTGCTATATTGCCTTATATATCAATTAGGGCAAATTATCCTTTTTGATGCATTCTAGCTTCCTGTAAGCTTATGGTTGTGGAATTAGGAATACTGTATATTCTGAGTTTGTCTTCTTTTTTTATGATTTGTTCCTTTCCCCCCTTAAATTTTGTGATTTCAGGTTGAACAGGCTCAAGCAGGTCTAGAATCGCTTGCTTTATCTCAGAAGACAATAAACCATCTCCGAGAAAATTTCGTGGAAATCGAAAAGTATGAATATGGTGCAACATGCTCATACACATGTGAATAATCCTGTTTCCCCCAACTCCTGATGACCTATTCAGGTTTTGGGTTATCTAATACCTTTGTGTTCAATCAGGTTGTGTCAAGAATGTCAGACGTTGATCGAAAATCACGATCAAATAAAGCTCCTTAGTAATGCAAGAAATAATCTAAACACAACTTTGAAGGTGAGCATACTTCCTTACCTTTTTCATCAAATAATCAATATGCATAATCCAGTCATCTTATATCTTTTATGGTCATTTTTTCTTTTTAAATATATCTCATTTTCCTGCTAATTGCTCTGTTGCAAACTGTTTTGTCCATATGTGCTTTTTTCCCACGTAATAGGACATTTAATACTTCTTAAGTATGAACTTTCTGTTGGTTTCCATTCTTGTTTAGGATGTGGAGGGTATGATGTCGATATCCGTTGAGGCTTCTGAAGCACGGGATTCTTTGAGTGATGACAAGGAACTTACTAACACCTATGAGGTATAGCTTGTTGTGGGCATGAATCATCATTCTTTTGTTGATCAACTAAAATTATTTCATCGCACGTTTGTTGCTAAAAAGATTCATGTGTTATCTTCAATTGATTGTAGAGGTTAACTGCACTGGATGGAAAACGGAGGTTTGCATTAGCAGCTGCTGCATCTCACAAAGAGGAGGTTGGCAGACTAAGGTTAGGATCTTTGCCTTGAGTTCATTATCCCAATGTTTTATAAAAAAGAAAGAAAGAAAAAAGTGAGAGAGAGAATCATCTTTTGGCTGTGAGTTCATCATTGGCGATTAAAATTTCTCTCTGATTGCCTGCCACTTGACTTATAAAATTGATGTCACTAATCACCTGTATAGAGAAGAATCCTTTCTCCATTTTGTAATAAAAAACTAAGGCTGCATTGGCATTGGTTTGCTCATTTACTGTTTGGTTTTCTCTACCCAATGCACTAGATATGCTATTATTTGTCGAAAATGAAAGGTGAAATTTTCCATTTCATTTGAACGTAGTGTCCTAGAATGAGATTTATATTTTGACTTTATAATTTAATATTGGTTCTGTTTGATACATATTTTGATGCTATGATGGTTTTCTAAAATTGTTTGAAAAATGAAGTTTTATGTTTTTTATGATGAATTAAGTGGACAACATTTCTCAGGGAGTATTTTGAAGACATAGATCACACATGGGAGACATTCGAGAAGACGTTATGGGGTCATATTTTCAACTTCTTTAAACTTGCTAAAGAGAGGTATGCTTATTTTCCTTTTGAGTTGGCATCTATTCGTTCTCACTTCTTTGCATGATATTTTAATGGCATGGTCTTCTTCAAGCTTCTCCACTTGTATATTTATATTTTTTTCCAAAAATAATTTGAATTGCCTAAGAGGCTAAGACCGAACCTCTGTGGTAAACAAACAATCTGCAGCAATGCTGGTTTGGCACATGTACCTCATCCTTCTCTCTTGATATATAGAAACCAGTATTGAGAAAAATTTGCAACCTTTTATCATTCAGAAACTAGTGATGTATTAAATAAAATTGAAAATCAAAACTTGGTTATTTGGAGGTAATTACGAAGGGAGATACATGATTGGATCACATCAACATACATATTGTAGAATGAATTTAGAGATAGTGGTTTTATCTTGCAAATATTTCAGTGTTTCTCTTAATATGATACTGCAGATGATGATTGACAATAACCTTCTAGTGAAATAGAATATATATTATGTGGTTATTTCATGCTGTGACAGTTTTAATACGTAAAAAGGATTAAGGATCTCTATAACAATGTGTAGTATTTACCTCTTAAAAGAGGATAACTTTTGTTAATGTTGTTCAATTACTCTTTGCTGCCGCCTAGTACATAGAACTTTCTGTTGGGATAATACTTCTACTTGTATTTTTGAAAATACAAATATGTCAGCAATGTATCAATTGTAAGAAGAAAAGCTAAAAACTTGTATTCTATCAACTTCATGTACAGTTATGTCAATATAGCATTATTTTTTTATGATTTTGTCAAGATTTCTGGTTACACTCCTAATTAGTATTTACCTTGACTGATGACCTATTCCATCCCAAACAACTAATCAAGTATTCAAAGAAGCTTAGCCCTACAGATGCTGAACCACATTCCAGCGTAATTAATGTTTCAGCTTCTCAATTACATGCACCATGCAGATATGGTCAGTGCTCTGAGCAACCTTGACCTCTACGAATTGCAGCACCCTGCACCTATAGAGTGTTCCCATAGGGTTTCCAGGGCTTCAATCAGTGGAAGTAATTCATTAACTGTGAAGGAGGTCAAGTGAGTCACCATGAGTATGGCACCCCGGTTGTTGACATTATTGCTGTAGTGCCATGATGTAGTTAAATTATCTTATAAAATCAGAAATATGTAGAAAACTCAAATTAAAAGAAGGTTAATTGAGTCACTTAAGGGTTTCTCATTTGACTTTTGAAAGAATAGAAGGATGTCTCACATGTATTGGCATTTAGGTTTAAGATAGTGACCTTCTCGTCTACCTGTTTAGATCAAATAGAAGAACTAAAGTACATCCCTTCAACATGTTATAGTGCAATATTATCATTATGAATAGGAATTAGCAGTAATATTAGTGATGGTGTTTTCCCAATCTCCTCTTTTCATTTGTGCATGGGCCAAATGTACAGGACTCTTTAGAAATTTTAGGGCCAATAGTTGAATGTATACAAAATTCTGTATTGTTTCTAAGGCTACTTCTGTTTAACTGATCAACTTTTATGTTGTCTTAAGTAATCAATTATTTACACTTTCCACTTGATTTTGAATTCATTTATTTCCATGCAGTTTTTAGTTTTGACAAGAACCTATATGTGTTTTCTGCTCTGTATATTGTTCATTTTTCATGTTTATTTTCTTTTTGCAGCCCACAGACCCTCGTTCGTGCATTGAGGTAGGTCTGATCTGAATGGAATACATTACAAAATGAGTCCATTGTTCAGTTCATTTAGGTGCTAATTTGGTTCTCTCTCTGTATTCCACCCCACACCCCCAATAAAAATAATAAAAAAAAATTGAACAATATAGGGTTGTTGAGATGCAAGAAATCCTGGATCAACAACTTGCCGAAGAAGCAGCTGAGGCTGAAGGAGGTGGTGCAATGGCATCAATAGCAAATCCTCGTAGAAGTGCCAAGTATTTACCTGAATATGCTAAAGCTTTGCTTTTTGACCCAATGGCTTCTTGTCTAGAGTCATTAACCATCAGTCCTCTGCAATTTGTAGTTTTACATCAATAAATCTTATTGGCTGCTTTTCCCTTCAGAAAATCTACCACTGCAAGTGCTTCTTCTAGAAACCTTGTCCAACAGAAGTTGAAGGTTCAAGGAAAAGGCTACAAGGATAAATGTTATGAGCAAATAAGGAAGTCTGTTGAAACGCGTTTCAACAGATTGCTCAGTGAGGTTCGTCATTTAACCTGCTTATGTTAATGGCGTTAGATTAGAATTGTGTGGAATTCTCTGTCGGCTGTTCTGATAAGGATATATATTTCAGCTTGTGTTTGAAGACCTTAAAGGAGCTCTGGAGGAAGCTCGAATGGTATGCATACGTTGATCTTGCTAGAACCTCTATCTTTGCTAGTTAACTAAAACTATCATTTTTTATCCCTTAGCTGAACTTTTTATAAGTAACTGAAAGGAGAAAGGTTTGAATATCGATATTAATTTTTTGATGTTATAAACAAAACTTTTCGTGTCAATAGATTTGATATAGTTTGTTTGAAACCCTGTTTCTTATGAAGCGCTTCTCATTTACTTCTTCAAAAGTCTCTTCAATTTATTTCACCTACGCTATTTGTTTTGACAACAAAAGTTGAGTCACTTCTAGTTCCTCTTCTTGAATAATTTAAACAGGAATTATTAAACACATGGAGACCTAATGTATTTCTGACAATTTGTGAAGTGCTCTTTTTTGAGTAAAGAATTAAGCTGGTGAAGATTAAATAAAGGATCCAATTTCAGAACACTTTTTGTGGAATTCATGGAGTTTTGGATGGTGGTTGCTACGCGAAAACTACTACTTCATCAACAACGGGGAGAGTGGTAATGGGGTAGGTGATGAAGGAGGAGGGAAAATGAAAGGAGAAGAGGAAGAAGCTGAAGAAGTAAGGAGAAACAATTGAGAAACGATAAGAAGAAAAAGAAACATAAGAAAAGAACATACTGTGAATAAGAGAGAAGAAAATAAGTGGGGGATTTTTCGGGCAAGTGTTGCCAGAGAAAAGAAATAGATTGAAATTTTTTAATGTTGTACCTCGTGCTATCCAACTTGTAGGTTTTGCAGATTCAGGAGTAAATTAGGGGGGTTAAATTGGGATAATTGGGGGTGTGTGAGAGTAACTTTGTTAATTTTTGAATTTAGTGGTGACCTGGTGGGTAGATTATGAACGTTGGCATGAAAAGTAAAATGGATGGTTGAAGTTAGAAGCCTCTTTCGAAAATTTGAGATATTTGAAAATGCAATATTGCCCCTGAATCTGAAGCATAGTGAAATGTAAGGAATTATATGAAACTGAAAGTATACTTGATAGACATATGAAAATGTTAATTGTGAATTTCGAACTACTAGCTATAATGTCTTCAATAGACAGTAGCCTATGTACTGGAATGGAACCAATTCCCTGAAGTACTGATTTTTTTTTACTTTTTGCTTTCTTTAGGTCATTATTACCTGTATTTTTTGAACTTCACCTAAATGGTCCAAGTGGGAAACCTGTGGTAGAAGCTATAAAACAAGCTTGAAGAGATCATAATTCATAATTAATAATCTTTCATCAACATATACGAATTGTATTGCTAATTTATTTTATTTCGTAAAACAACTAACTCCTAATGGTTTCAGAACCAACTGCTATTGAAACTTTATCAAGTATAGATATAATTCATGAATCAAAGTTATGACGTTTTGCACGGTTTGCAATTACGTTCTTCCCTGCGTTGTGTCATCAGGTTCTGATTGGAATGGATGTTTGCATAGCCTTCTTTATACAAGGATTTTCAACTCTACCATTCCCATGACTCCTGTCGCCTAGTCTTTCATGAGATTCTGATAGAACAAACTCAGTGTTGTTGTGATTCTAGTGACATATGTTTTCTCTGTGTCAGATTGGTGAGGAGCTTGGAGACATATATGACTATGTAGCACCTTGCTTTCCTCCAAGGTTTGACTTGTCAAATTTAATTTGGTCTGATTGTTGGTTACTTTTAAGGTTTTAGCTAAACACTCGATTTTATTTGAACTTAACAGTTGGTTTGAAGTTACCTTTCCTGCTCTTTATCATTTCGACATCCATTACAACTGAGAAAATAAATATTTACTCCAACAATTGGTCTCTCTGCATTTGATCTTTTTCGTGAATTTCATATAACTATTCCTTAACTAACTCCGAGATTTGGCAACATATCTCCGCGGTAGAGTACTTAACGCTTGATTAAGAGCAATTATGATTGGTATTCCTCAGTCAGCAAACAGAAAATTATCTTCAGAGTCTAAACTTTTAAAGAATGTGGCATAGGCTAAAGTGAATTATCAATGTGGCCTCACTGGTCCAGTATAATATAGTGTGACCGAGGATATTTTGTGCTTAACCTAGCTTTACCAATAAGGAACTTCCATAATTGAAATAAATTGTTCATTACAATGATTAAGAAACATGCATGATAGTATTCATTTCTTCCTGGTTCCAGACAGTGAGGGAAGACCATCCAACCATATGCTGTTTGATACATTGTTGCTGCATGCCAAATCATTCATATAGATTGTTAAAGTGATTAATATTTATGATATTGGGGTTTTTCCATCTATTTCTGGAAGGTTATGTTTAAAAACAGAAAAGATGAGAAAATTCAGGATTGATCTCATCAATCACTATCTTCTTTTCTTCTCTTTTTCTTTTTCTTTTTCCTTTTCCTAAGTGGTCATGAGAAATAAACTGCATTTTGATTATATTCAGACTTATATTTCTTTCTTCTGTGCCATTATATAAAGCTAGTTCCCAGTTTGTTTGCTTATAATGACCAGATCTGTTCGTATGGACCCCAATATGGGTGCTAATATCTTGTATTCTATGTTACCTTGAAACATTTACTCTTTCAATTTTTTTCTGTGTCATGTTTATCCAGTAACTAAATCTCTGTTTCTTTTACTGTTCTCTCCGTAAGTTCTTAGACATAATATAGGTTTTACTCTGATTGACTAGTGATTAGTTTATTTTACTCTGTTGCTAACATCCCTTCTATTATTACCATGCCTGTAGGTACGAAATATTCCAGCTCATGGTGAATCTTTACACTGAGAGATTTATTCATTGGCTGAGATTGCTTAGTGATAAAGCTAATGAGCTTACAAATATAGAAATTTTGAAGGTAGTTAGTTAACAATTTTAAGATAATTGCCATTAGTTGTTTAATTAATTTTGAAACTACTCTCATCAGTTTGTCTTACTTCCAAGGATGAATTTGCTATGATAATCTGATGATATGCATAATCCTCAGTCTTGAATTGCATGTAACGTATATGATGCTTCCTGAGCTTGTAGGTGCTCATAAAACGATAACTTAATTTTTTCATGCTTTATATGATTCTCTATTTTCTCTTTTTTGCAATCTTTTTTACGACAAGTTTCCCATATCTCCTCTTTTTCAATGTTCTAGAGGATGTTGTGCCCTAAAGAGGGATTTTTAGATATTTAAATCATAGTATAAGTTCATGACTTGAAGGTGCAACACAGCCACATAGAATAAGAGGGAGTCAGGCAAAATAGAGATCTATGGGATCAAAAGATGCCTACCAAGATAAAATGAAAATAGACATAACAATTATTATTCTTTACAGTAATGAGTTATAAATCAATAAAAGGACAAATATTGATGAAGTGAAGAGAAGATGTAAAAGACAAGGATGGCTAGATGATTATGTGGTTGTACTATAATGTGTAAAATAAGGAATGAGAATATACACTAAACAAGTGGAGGTGGCAAAAAAAGGACAAATTAAGAGAATAGCTTGTTGTAGATTTAAAAGAGCTCTCATTAACAACATTGTGATAGTAGAACGTGTGAGAAGATGAAAAAGTAGACTGGCGTTAACACGGCAAAAAAATTGATTTTCATTTGACATATTAGTAGTTGTAGCATTGGATCTAATGGGGTAGTAAAATCTCATTAACGGACTCTAAAGAGGGTGTTAGCCACCCAATCAAGTGAAACTAAGGGTGTGAAAGAGTCAGCACCCTATCTGTTATGGGTTCTTAACCTTGAAGAACAATGAATTTTGTGTAACTCAGGAAATGGGACAAAAAAAAGACCCTTCATGCACTACGTTAGCCTACTAGTACAGCCAATGACTATTTATACTAAAGGAGCTCTACACTACCTGCACAGGATAGATTGTATGTGAAATTGTGTCTATGAAAAAGTTTTTTGGAGAATAACGATCATTCATACAAGCAAACCAAAAATCTTCTGTCAAGTCCCTAAATTCTCCTTTCCCTCGAAAGCTCTAGATTTCCTTTTCCAGATAACCAAGATACAAAGTGAAGATGTATCCCAAATCTTTTCCTACCACTTCCTCTTCTAAACTTGTATCCTCGGTCTTTACATAATATAACTGCTTCCAGGACACGTGGTCGTTATTTTTGTTTTTGGGATGGAAATACCAAGAGAAGACGATTGCACGCCTAATTATTGAACAATTGAACTGTTTTCTTTACACATCCTTGTATTGAACTGTTTTAAATTTGGGATGGTATATATGGAATTGAAAGAAATATAAGTACTGAAACAGTTTTATTTAAATTATTGTGCCAATTGTTTGAAATTATAATCCAATAACTACCCGTTAATATGATTCATGCCGAGTTGTTCCTTTTGTTTCTGCTTTTACACTTCGTAATTTTCCTATATTAGTAGAATGGATATCCTGGATGGCTGTGCTTTTCTGTAAGAAATTTAGATGGTCTAAATATACTTCATTTGCCCTACTTGGCTCTTTTTATTGCTTCTTATCTTGCTGCTTCCGCTTCCATTATATTAATCTTTTCTTTTATGCCGAATGTACTGTTTACCGAGCTGTTTTCATGTTGAATACTAAATAATTGATATTAGGTAACTGGTTGGGTAGTTGAGTACCAAGATAATCTTATTGGACTTGGCGTTGACGAGTCACTGGCTCAAGTTTGTTCCGAGAGCGGTGCAATGGATCCCCTAATGAATGCTTATGTTGAACGAATGCAAGCCACAACAAGGGTAAAAACGCAAGAGAGCAGTCGTCTTTCTATGCATCATATCATTTCACCTTAATTGTTTAACTAATTAATTTGAATCCTCATTTGGTTCTGTAGAAATGGTATTTGAATATACTTGATGCTGATAAGGTACAGCCACCCAAAAAAACAGATGATGGAAAACTATACACCCCAGCTGCTGTTGACTTGTTTCGGATCCTTGGAGAGCAAGTACAAATTGTTCGAGATAATAGCACTGATGTCATGTTATACAGAATTGCTTTGGCCATCATTCAGGCAAGTGCAGCTTGACTAGTTTTCAAATAATTATCTTATTAAGAGCTGCCCACCTTTCCTGCTAAGTTACCTAGCTGTCTTGATATATTTCATCACTGCCCACGGTATATGTTAGTCTTGCCTGCGATTGCAAGTTGCAACTGTTGTGTACATATTCATGACAGGTGTTCATCCCATGACCATATTTGTATTGATCTTCTAAAGACTTTTCATTTTTCTCTTTGGAGAATGGAATTCAAGCTTAGCTGAGTTCCATTATACCATCAGATAACTCTGGGCCTTATGATAAGATCTTCAAAACTTCTGCTGTGAACGTAATTATATGCTCTCTTTCTATTGCTTATTCTCGCACACGTACACACGCACACACAGAAGCAAACTTTCACATTCAATTGGTTAATATCGTTGCTAGTGTCAGATTAAAAAATCACAGTAAATAAATTCGGTAGTCAAAACATGTGTTTAAATCCTAATCAAATGGTGAGATGAGCAAGCACTGTGATAACATATAGTGAAGTAGACCACTTGTTTAAATTACTTCTACACTTACCATGCTTGATTCCTACTACCTAATTTATTTTCATTCTTCTGAAGCCTTATGCCTACTTTGATGATGGTAAGTTGGAAATTATTTGAATAAAAACACAAGAATGGAGTTGGTCCCACATTATGATCTGCAGTCATTCGTGTTTGTAATTGGGCTAGAAGCACAAGAACGTGCATAGGGTATGACATAATCATGGCGATACATGATTCTTGTCAACTAAGCTTCCAAATAATATATGGTAGCAATTATGGTCTGTTTACAAGATGGATAGTGTGCTAGGTAGCATTTTCATTTTTCCTTTTCTTTCCCAGGTAATGATTGATTTTCAGGCAGCTGAAAGGCAGAGACTGGAGGAACCTGCTTCAGAAATTGGTCTAGAAGCTCTATGTGCAATGGTATGTGAATCTGCATTTGTATTAGCATCTGATTGCATATTATCAGAGCAGTATCTATCTTTCTGATAAGATCACTTGATTTCAGATTAACAACAATCTTCGATGCTATGATCTCGCCATGGAGCTAAGTTCTAGCACACTTGAATCTCTTCCACAGAATTATGCTGAGCAGGTTAACATTTTATTTCAAAATATCTTTCCGTGCAGAGGATCCAAATTTGCATATGAAAGTTCAGCAGAATTCGAAGTTTTTCTTCTCTTGTATTGTTGCACTAATTTTAATATTCCTCTTAGTTCTTGGGGGTGTATTTATACTTTATAGCCTCCTAATTATAAGTTTCCTATTTCTGGTACCGTGCACCTCAGATAAAAAAGTGTGTTGAATCAGTATAGATGGATTATAGTAACGCCATCCGTCGTTTTAGGCTCCAATATTCATGTACATTGAAATTTTTCAGGCCACCTAGTGAAGTATATCTCAGATTGTATGGCTCTGTATCTCCATACTGGGTCTTTTGCTCTAGAAAACGTGAAAGATGAATCAATGAACGATATAAAGGGGTTGCGATAAAAGGAGATGGGCACCTGAATCACACATATTACAACTTACCTCTTCTCTTCTCTAAAATCTCTGTGACGGATATTGTGATGAAGATTCCACCACTGACATTTATCGCTTTTTGTGGAGGATAAAACATTGATATGACCATCTGGCTTCTAGGACGGACTTGTGTCTTCTAAAAGGACTTGAAAAACTTCTAATTTTTCTTTGAACTGAGAGGCATTCCTGTTGCCTGTGCTTTGTTTTCAATATGGCGCAGTTTAGGACAAACAATATTTCTCTTTGTTAACTGTTTTAATCACTTTTACAGGTGAATTTTGAGGATACCTGCAAAGGCTTTCTGGAGGTTGCCAAGGTTTGTCGATGGGCTCCCATAATATTCTGCTAGTTTCATTCAAATGTTCATAATGCCTTCAATATATAGTAACCGTATAATATGTCTCTCTTTTCTCCTGTTTGCCTATATTTTTCGTTTTGTTCATTTGATCGATCCATGTTCACTGCTATTTCAAAAATATCAATGCTTTCAAGAATTTTGTACTAGTAATTTATTTTGGAAACATGTTCTTGTCTAATCATTCTACCGGTGTACTATATAATGGCATATGACTAAGCACTCATCCAGGTAAGAAAGTTCTCCTGTTTCTGAATATATGTATTTTAGCAGTTTCTTGGTAGCATGGTTGATTCATTCACGATGACTTTTGGACTTAACTACCCAGACATCCTTTTCTGTCTGAAATTTGGGCTACTCATAGGCACATGTTTTATGAATATTTGTTTGGCTACCGTCGCCTGCCCGAGA